AAGAGGGATGCAGTACTCAGTGCGGTTCATCGCCTTTTTCCTTCCCTCTACTCGTTTGTAAACTCATGCTACAGCAAGAATCTAACTGTACTATTCGGGGAACATGAAATTGAATCACAAGAAGGTGTCCAACAGGGTGACCCCCTTGCTCCATTTTTTTCTGCCTAGTCATCAAGGAAGTCACCGATAACATGTCCAGTGAGCTCAATATTTGGTTTTTGGACGATGGTACTCTTGCTGGCTCTCTACCCTCACTCTTGGATGACATAAGAATAATTCAGGAGCAAGGAACAGGTCTAGGCCTCACCCTGAAACCCTGAACTCTTCCAAGAGCGAAATAACTTCCACCAACCAGCACATAATAGAGCAAATAAAGGTTGTTTTTCCTGATATTCATACAACCAACCCTGAGGACAGCACACTCCTAGGTGCTCCTCTTGGAGAGAATGCCATCGACGAGGACCTTGGTAGGAAGATCACTGACCTGAAGAGGATGACCGAGAGGATTGAAGACATCGATGCTCATGATGCACTTTACCTCATCTGGGGAGAGACAGATGCTTGTCCCTCCCCAGGCTGACCTACTTTCTAAGATGTTCGCCATCTTTCAACAATATTAAATGAGAAGAGTACGACATCTTGCTGAAATCAATGCTAGAAAAAGCCCTCAACCTTTCTCTCAGTGACTCACAGTGGAAACAGACCTCCCTTTCTATCAGACTCGGGGGCCTTGGCGTGCGCACAGCAACACAAATTGCTGTACCAGCGTTCCTGTTCTCTTCAGTGGCGTCTGACAACTTGGTGAAGGAAATCCTACCAGAGCACCTAGTTTAACAGGCAGGGGTACATGATCCCAGCTTCACAGAGTGCACAACCAAATGGGTCTCTCTCGCAGGATCAGCACCCCAACCACCGCCTTCCGAAGTCCATAAGCAGTCCAGCTGGGATCGCCCCATTGCCGACCAAGAAGCTGCGACTCTGCTAGAAGCTGCGACAACACCACATGACACTGCCCGACTTTGAGCCATAGCAGCTCCCCATGCAGGTGACTTCCTATTAGAAATGCCAATGTCAACAACCGGCATTCGTCTCACACCGCAGGCCCTCCGAATTGCCGTGGCTCTCCGCCTCGCTGCCACAATCCACACCAAATACAGGTGTATTTGCGGTAAGGCAGTGGCCGACAGGTACAGACGGCATAGCCTCTGCCAAAGAACAGGAGGATGGCATGCCAGACACGGCGACGTTAACAACATTATTAAAAGAAGCCTTACCATGGCCGGATGTCCAGCAGAGAGAGAGCCCCGTTACCTACTGTCTGGCAACTCTGATGAGCCTGTCGGTCGCCCAGACGGAATCACAGTGAACCCCTGGAAGAATGGTAGACAGTTGGTGTGGGACTACACTTGCGTTTCAACTTTAGCCAATACCTATGTTGACTTCAGTGCTACACAAGCAGGAGGAGCTGCCAATCACCGGGAAGCGGCCAAGTCACGTAAATACAGAGACCTTGAGCACCACTACAATTTTGCCCCATTGCCTCAGAGACACTTGGTGCCTGGGGTAAAAGTGCTGCTAGTTTTTTGAAGGAGTTGGGGTCCAAGCTAATTGAAAAAACTAGAGACCCTAGAGCTGCCTGTTTTCTTATTCAGCGCCTTAGTGTGGCGATCCAGAGAGGAAATACTCACAGCATCCATGGTTCCTGCCCTCCGTCTGAGGAGCTGAAGGAGCTCTACAACTTGTAACAAGTAGCCTTGTACCCTGCATGTAACCAATGTTGTAACCCTTTTTGTGTAATGAAATTTTCAAATAAAGTTAGATATATATACACACATACCAAAAGAATAGGAGTGGTAGGAGAAGAAAATATCAAAGGGTTCAATGAGGATCTATAAGGTCTTCTCTGAGTACTCTTCATTTTCTTCTCCAAGGCTATGGGTCCCTGCACTTGAACCAGAGGTGGTAACCCTTCTCTCTCTCTCTCTCTCTCTCTCTCTCTCTCTCTCTCTCTCTCTCTCTCTCTCTCTCTCTCTCTCTCTCTCTTTCTCTCTCTCTCTCTCTCTCTCTCTCTCTCTCTCTCTCTCTCTCTCTCTCTCTCTCTCTCTCTCTCTCTCTCTCTCTCTCTCTCTCTCTCTCTCTCTCTCTCTCTCTCTCTCTATATATATATATATATATATATATATATATATATATATATATATATATATATATATATATATATATATATAGGAAGAATTGAAACAGGAATTTCCTTAGGTACTTCTTAAGTAATTTCCTTAATACATCTTCAGAAGGGTCTAATACACCCCTCTGAAGATGTATTATTAAATACGAAAGTATTTAAGGAAATTCCTTGCCTGTTAATTTTCGTGATTTATTAATATCTATAAGAAGATATTATAGTGGTGAAGGTGTTGATAATATTTTTTAACCCTCTTTTTCTCTCATGATTGCTTGCTACTGCCAATTCATGATAACTTTCTTTTAACTTGAGGTGGGATCAATGAAGAAGAGGCACTAAGGCCCCATACGCAGTGATTTAAATAAAGAACCAGGTTACTGGCTCAGTGACGCCGTAACATAACCGAAAAGAATTTCCGGTTACATGTAAACCAAATGGGGTACCTTCTTCTTCGTGTTATATTCACTGTCCTAGAAGTAGACTTTAAGCCCAATACAAAACTAATACAGTTCTTTAAATATTTGTGTATTACCTGAACAAGCAGTTGCCAACAAAATAAACTTCCAGGGCCAGGTCATTCGCTCCATGACGATTTACGGCAATTGGTTGACGTTTCTTTAGCTTCTGAAACCGGTAAAAATTGTTATTATGTACATGAAAAAATCCCTCCAATAATAATACATAGTGTTTAAACATTCTCATACTGCCAGTTTTTATTAATTTCCTAAAGATAAAATAATAAAATAATCAACCCTTTCCTAAAGGGTTGAACCTACTACCAGAACAAAAAATAAGGTTCTTCGTCTCATATGTGAAAATACATATTATGAATCTAGATCAAATGGTCAACTTTGTTATCGTTTTGGAAGTTTCAAATAAATCTCCACTCCTAACCCTTAACCTTGTGAGGTGGACGGTAGAGCGACGGTCTCGCTTCATGCAGGTCGGCGTTCAAACTCCGACCGTAATCTTACCTGGGACGCGGTCGGGTCAAGAAGTACCTGCTCCGCGACTAGGGGTGAAGTTAGTATTGGTGTTTAGCTCAGTCTACACACAAGGAGACTGACTAGTATCAATCGCATTCTACACATCTCCCCTCATGCTCGGTACTGAGATCACCAGTACTCGGTCACCAGAAGAACTGGCTACTTCCCACGGCAATATTAACATGGACTCGGAAAGCAGCCAGTCAGTCGAGGAGGGTGAGTTCCAAAAAGTTCTAACCAGGCAACAGAAGAAACGGAGAAGACAGGATGTAAGGCGTAGTGTTGACAGTGATAGTGTACATAACGGAAACGAGAAGAGAATGAAGAACGACGCCGAGACTGATCAAACCAGTGTCGACAAACGGACGGAACGATGTCAGGAAGGTGAGGGTCAGCGGAGATGGAGGTTTCTCTTCCCTGCCTCATGCACACTGGCCTATCATCACAAGCCGCTGTGGACAGTCAAACTTGGAAGAGAACACCGCAAGTTCGAGACCCTGCTGAAGGAAAGTGTGAGCAGACCATACTTAACGATAGGTTCTATGTAGGCAGTAGTGTTTCTTACCCAGCAATGATATGATGGAATTGTTATGCAAATACCGGAGGGGAACGAGAAGCTGACGAAGGTTGACGAATCTACAAATGCCCTCAGATTCTAGACCCCAAATTCATCCTCGACGACCAACGATCTGTGTGGGCCAAGCGTCACCTTATTAAAGGTGAAGCTAGGAATCAGGTGGTGTCTCTAGTGAGAGGTGAAGTTCCCGAGAGAAGGTTCATCACCAGGGCTATCTTGAGGTTATCTTGAGATGATTTCGGGGTTTTTTAGTGTCCCCGCGGCCCGGTCCTCGACCAGGTCTCCACCCCCAGGAAGCAGCCCGTGACAGCTGACTAACACCCAGGTACCTATTTTACTGCTAGGTAACAGGGGCATAGGGTGAAAGAAACTCTGCCCATTTTTTCTCGCCGGCGCCTGGGATCGAACCCAGGACCACAGGATCACAAGTCCAGCGTGCTGTCCGCTCGGCCGACCGGCTCCCAATTCAATTTGAGGTTGGCTACAGGCATGTAGCAAAGTATGTGGAAGAGCCCATAATATGCCTGAAATGCTGCAGATGGGGGCATAAATCCTGGAGCTGTCAACATGATCCACGATGTCTTTCTGCGGAAAGTCTCACCTCTCTAATGTGTGTAGAAACAGACTTAATCTGGGTGAGAAAATAGTTCCCAGATGCTGCAACTGTGGAGGTGTTCACAATGCCAGCTCGGCTGTGTGTAGCAAGAGGCCGAGTATGGATGTTCCCCGGCCGGTGAATGTTACAGAGCAAGCAAGAGCTCTTACCCAGACACCGGGAGCACAGCAAAACAGTCTGCCCCAAACAGCGCCAGTGAACCGGATGAATGCGTGGGTAAAGGAGTCACCTTTACTTCGTCAGGCTCAAGCAACAAGCAGCCACGCCAACACTCAGGACTCCGGCAGTGACAGTGTAACGGTGAGTGAAGTGGCTACTGTGGCTCAGAAAGAGGGCCATAATGATATGGTCAAGGAGGTGTGGGCTGAATAAGAAAAGTTGGCGAGTTCCTCCGAAATCTTGGGCAGAGAATCGAATCCATCGAGGCGAAATTAAACTTTCAGGTGAAGGTCAAGGAAAGTCACAAAACAGTGAAGGAAAGTCAGGATATAGTGGTTGAGGACAATAATGAAATATTGAGTGATGAAATGAAGGAAAGTGAAGTGTGTGTGAATGATGAAAGTCGTAGTGAAAGGAAGAACCCTATAATTACACATAAAATGAAGGACACATTTGGCCAGTAATTGACGTCACAGGACTGAAAAAATCTCTTGAGAAACGCAATGTCGCTTTTACTGGTGAACTTGGGAGGAGGTGGGAGATGTTATACAAGGTATGGCTATCATTTAGTGAACTTATTGGGGATGACTTAGAAAGTGAATTGTTTAATAATGGATCACCCTAGACTGAAAGTTTTGTCATGGAATGTTAATGGTTTAAGAAACAGGGTTACAGATGTTCATTGTTTTGTGATGGGAAATGATATTGATGTTGTAGCTCTCCAGGAGACAGGGGATAGGAATGAAGGCCTATTGAAATTAAATGGCTATAAAGGGTTTCACCTCTTCGCCGCAAATAACATCAGAGGGACGTCGATTTATGTTAAGAACTCCATACCAGCAGAGTTAGTAGAACCCCCGTCAAAAACACAAGGTATAGAGAGTGTCTGTGTTAAATTATCAGTAAGGGAAGGGGAATTTATTGAAGTTAATTTGTATGTATCCAGGAACTGCTTCGACCCTCACTATCTACCTGACTTTATTTATACTAATCCTTCACTGGTAATTGGGGACCTTAATGCTCGGCACACAAGCCTTCGGGCAGTGGGTAGTATTAATGCTAATGGGGTCAAGTGGTTACAGTTTCTACAAGATCATCCAGATACCTGTCTCTTGGGAAACAATGAACCAACTCACATCAGGGGAGGAAGGCTTGACTATGCCTGCATTTTAGACTCTCAGGGGATTAGGTGGGAGGCTCGGGTTGTTCGGGAACTACTTAGTGACCACTTTGCCTTGAACGTTGAACTTCCACTGGGGAAAAAACAAGTCCACTTTCAAAGGAAAATGCTAAATATTAATAAAGATATGAAAAATTATTTCATTCAAAATATGGGAGATTGGTAGCAACAATACATGCCGCTCTGCGTTGATACTTTTTACGAGGACATGGTCGAGAACATAGATAAATTAGTACAGAGGGAAAATAACGGGGGCAGGGGAAGCAAGACGCATGTACCTAAGAAATTTAAGTATTCGAATGATCAACAAGTTAAGGGGTGGGAGAGAATGCTACGGAGTGCACATAAAGAATGGTTAAACAATGGAATGAGGGATGAAGAGAAAAATACAATATTGGAAGTGGCTAGGGAATGCAGTCAGGTGAGGAAGGAGGTGCAGGACAGATACTGGCAAGACTTTGCTCAGTCCATTGGTAATACTAAAAACCTTAAAGACATATGGAGAGCAGTAAATAAAGTCAGGGGTTGTGAGACCAAATTCATTGCTCACTCAGATCCAGGGAACGTTGCTAATGAGGTAGTAGATAAATGGGCTAATGCTGCTGGTATGGAATCCTTACCTGAAGACACGAGAGTCACCATTGAGTCATGGGAAAATATTAGAAATGGAGTAACTTTATGTGCCTTAAATACAAGATCTGTAACATGCACTGAGATAACTCACGATGAGCTACTGGATGCTATAAAAAGTGGCAGCTCTACTGCTCCGGGGAACGATGGAGTAACGTATGACATAATTATTTAGCCGGTATGAAACCTAATCCCTTACTTGATTTGTTTAATATGAGTTATAGAGAGGGAAAGTTACCATGAAAATGGATATAGGCTGTCATCATTCCTATCCCTAAGTCAAACGGAGGCTACAGGCCTGTCTCCTTAATATCCTGCTTTTGTAAAATGATGGAAAGGATTTTGTTAAATAGTCTATTCTACCCTGCAGGTGATAACATGTCCAATAATTTCTTTGGTTTTATCAAAGGCAAAAGTACTGCGGATTGTCTCTTAAAGTGTTTGTCTAATGTGGATGACAATTGTAGAGTGTTTGTTGATCTGCAAGGAGCATTTGATAAAGTCAATGGGGGAAGTAATCTTATACGAATTAGCCAATCTGGGAATAACAGGGAGATTGCTACATTGGATAAGGGATTATCTACTAGGCAGAAAAGGTCAGGTGTATTACCAGGGATACATGTCTGAGGAACGGATGTTTCAGTTAGGTACCCCACAAGGGGGAGTTTTAAGTCCCACCTTATTCAATGTATTAATGAACAGATTAGCATCAGAGATGTATCCTCCAGGGGTCACGACGATCATATATGCTGATGACATTCTTATGCTAGGCACTTCTGGGAACAAAATTCAAACTGCTCTTAACATACTTGGTACAACCTGTCACAAGTTAGGCTTAGTTATAAATGCAGACAAAACCAAATATGAGTATAGGAAACGAAGAAATATAACACTTACTCTAAATGGTGTGGAACTGAGCCGTGTTCAGAAGTACAAGTGTCTGGGCATGTATGCTGGATACACATGTGAGAGTAAAATGCTGAAATAAATCATATCAGCAACTTATGTAAAGCCCGTCTGCATCCTCTAAAAGAACTGGCTTTTTCTGGTAAAGGTGTTGGGGTACCTATCTTGCGGATGTTATACATAAGCACTGTTCGGTCCCTGATAGACTACGCAGCACCTGTTTTGTCTTACACAGGCCAAGGCAGAATTAAAAAAAAATAGAGCTGATACAGAACGAGGCTATGAGGATTATTCTTGGATGTCAAAGAAATGCAATGATTGAAATAATGAGAATGGAATTAAATTTACAGAGTGTGTATGATAGAGTCCGTGACGTGACATTAACACTAGAGCATATATTCGTTTCATGCGGAGAAAAGGAGGGGATAAGCTGTTTCAAAACGTTCAGACCTGCTTGAGTGACGTACACACTTCCAGGAAACTGAGGGAGACACGCTACACGAGGGGATTAGCTCATGACCTTAGGGAATACGATGTACTTGACTGCTGTAAACCCTCTTGACAGTGTAATAGGTCTGCTCCCTGGAAAGTACAGAAAATAGACGTCGAAATTGTACCCCTCAAGGTGAAAAAGATTTATCATGAACCGGGACAATTACGGTGTTTGTATGGAAGAATGATATCTCGGTTACCAAGAGGCAACAGTTTACATGTATATTGTGACGGGTCGGTGGCGGAGGATGGCCGGGCAGCGTGTGGTGTCCAAATAAGGGAATATACTGAGTTTGGGACTATGGACAGGATTATTGAACTCCGACTTAGTAATTATATAGCATCCACACAAGCTGAACTGCAGGCCATTCTGGCGTGTTTGAAGAAAGTACGTCATGACGACAAAAATGTTTTTGTATTTATCGATAGCCGAGGAACACTTGACTCTTTAGTCACTCGAAACCCAGTCTTCATGTCCATAGTTGAGGATTGTAAGAAACGGTTAACTGAGATACAGCTGAAAGGCTATAGTGTGAAATTCATGTGGATTCCATCTCATGTTCGAATACTGCTCAACGAAGTGGCGGATGACTTGGCCAAACGTGCCACATCAAAACCACAAGTTGATATTGAATACGAATTCACAATGAGACAAATAAGAAGCAAAATCAGAAATATTCAGGCACAGGCAGAAGTGGCGAGGAGAGGTGTAATGTATGAGAGAAGTCAAACCATGCAACACTACATGTATGTGAGTCAAAACACTCATTTCACTTATGGTAAAAGGAGAAATGCTTGGAGTGACTCTGTGTACATGCGGCTCAGGCTTGGGTACAAATATTACTGGGAATATGAGATAGGTGTTCATGATAATGACACGAAGTGTAAACTATGTGGTATGTTAAGGTCTCACACCCTGGCCCATTATGTTCTTGATTGTCCGTTGATTAATGTATATAGAAACGCTGAGATAAGGACTGTTCCTGAACAAATAGCCTGGATGTGTCACAACGGAAAGGTTGATGATATTCTTGAGAGATATAAGAATTTTGCATCAAGACTAATTTTTTGTTGAATTATCTGCATGTGTCTTGCAAATTGTCTATATAGTATACCTAGATCATAAAAGTATTTGTGTACGTTTGATAACATACTACTTGTGAAGGAGGAAATATAGATGTTTATCTCTCAGAATGTTTTGTAATATGTTTATTGTTTGTGATGTGTGTATATGTATGTATTAACACGATGTACTGAACGGGGTGAGAATAGCTTGAGCTACCTCATCACTTTGTGTGTATTTTACCTCAATAAACTTATTTCAATTTCAATTTCAACTCCGACCGTCCAAGTATTTGGGCACCATTCCTTTCTCCCATCACATCCCAAATCCTTATTCTCACCCCTTCTAAGTGCTATATAGTCGTAATAGCTTAACACTTTCTCCTGATAGTTTCCTTCCCTTCCTAAACCTTAAATGACAGTTTACATTAATTACTATGTAAGGGTTATTTCGAGGTCAATATTGTTCACGTCAATTTGCCTTGTCGCTATAGAAACGTGCATAAAATGATTAATAGCAAATTTTTAAGTACTTGAAACCTTAATATAAATTTTGAAAGTTTTTATGTTTAATAAAATATTAATGATTTTCATTGAATTGAATAATATAAAATAAAACTTTATATATAAAGATTCCAGTCCTATTGTCAGGAGATGAATTTCCAGCTCCCTAGTGCAGTGTTGTGTGAGAGAAAACGACATGAGAGGCCAGTGCACAGTGTGTGCACGGGGCCCAGGTTTGAGAAAGACCTGTCCTACACCAGCTTGTTGAGAGTCTACGGAAAGCCGAGGTCATGACCTTTCCATTGCTACCACAGAGGCCGCTGTGAAAAGTCTACAAAAAAGTTCTATACATGAAATTGTTTCTTGTAAGTTCTGGTGAAGCGAGGAGAGTGGTGACAGAATTGGGGATTGGGAGAGTAATGGTCGTTGTAGGCCGGCACCTCACCCATCCTGACCCCCATCTGGAGGTACGTGATAGCTCTGTGATTGGTCGAGGCACTAGGCTTATGACGTACTCATCTGTAATTGGTAGATTTGAGTACTGGGGTAACCCGCTTGGCAAGAGCCCTGGGTTAGGCGCCAAGGGTTATTCTAGCTTGGTTGTTGCTAGGGGAACACGTAACTTTCCGTGCTAGGCCAAGCTTCGGAAATAGCGTCTGCTACAACATATAAGTCACTTAAAATTTTTCGTACCATCTCCACGGGTCCACTGAGAGGACAATCCGGGGCCGGGGAGATGAGGATTCGTTTTATTATGGAAAGTGAACTTAAAAGTAGATTCATCGACCGCGTGATTCACTTACAGAGGCAACGGAATGTAGGCGATATATCCGAAAATTGTCGTGATATCGATCGTCATCGGTGCCTTAGTCTGAAGGAATCTGATGGAGATGAATCTGGGAATGGCTTTCCAGTGTTGTGGAAACTTTCCGTTAGTAAGTCTAGGAATTACGGTCCAAAGTTCAGGATATTAACTTTTCATCATCCGTGGTGCGGCTACGTGAAGGTCGTGACCTTCAGCTTCAGATGCATTGGCCACAGTAGTATGAATGTAGAAAGTGTGAATGCGTGTGACTAGTCTAGTGAGAGTAAGTACCCCTGTTTTGTTTTGGTGAATATTCTCAGAAACTGGCTTCGATGCTAGGGGATCTTTCATTGCATCTGTCCATGAACACCTGTGAGGTGATTGGGAGTGCTGACTTGTGAGATTACCAGGATTAATGTCAGTTACAAGTCGAGGGTGAGGGCTCGACTGTGTGTGGGGACAGGACGTGAATTTGTACTCACCTAGTTTTGATGCGGGGATTGAGCTCTGGCTCTTTGGTCCCGCCTCTCAACTGGTGTAGAGATTCCTGAGCCTATTGGGCTCTATCATATCTACATTTAAAACTGTGTATGGAGTCAGCCTCCACCACAACACTACTTAATGCATTCCATTTGTTAACTACTCTGACACTGAAAAAGTTCTTTCTAACGTCTCTGTGGCTCATCTGGGTGCTAAGTTTCCACCTGTGTCCCCTTGTTCATGTTCCACCCGCGCTAAAGAGTTTGTCTTTGTCCACCCTGTCAATTCCCCTGAGAATTTTGTAGGTGGTTATCATGTCTCCCCTTACTCTTCTGTTTTCCAGGGTTGTGAGGTTCAGCTCCCTTAGCCTGTCCTCGTAACTCATTCCTCTCAGTTCCGGGACCAGTCGGGTGGCATACCTCTGAATCTTCTCTAACTGCGTCTTGTGTTTAATTAAGTATGGACTCCAGGCTGGAGCTGCATACTCCAGGATTGGTCTTACATAAGTGGTATACAGGGTCCTGAACGATTCCTTACACAAGTTTCTAAAGGGAGTTCTTATATTGGCCAGTCTAGCATATGCCGCCGATGATATCCTTTTGATGTGGGCCTCTGGGGACAGGTTCGGTGTGATATCAACCCCCAGATCTTTCTCTCTATTTGACTCTTGTAGGATTTCACCTCCCAGATGGAACCTTGTGTTCAGCCTTCTGCTCCCTTCGCCTAATTTCATTACTTTAAACTTTCCTGAGTTGAACTTTAGCAGCCATTTTCTAGACCATTCTTCCAATTGGTTCAGGTTGTCCTGTAGTCTCTGTCTATCTTCATCTGTTTTGATTCCTCTCATAATTTTTGTATCGTCAGCAAACATTGAGAGGAATGAGTCTATACCCTCTGGAAGGTCGTTTACATATACTAGAAACAGGATGGGTCCGAGTATAGAGCCTTGTGGGACTCCGCTGGTGACATCTCGCCACTCTGATGCCTCCCCCTTCATCGTTACTCGCTGTTTCCTATTGCTTAGATACTCTCTTATCCACTGGAGCACCTTACCATTTACTCCTGCCTGCCGCTTCAACTTTTATAACAGCCTTTTGTGAGGTACTGTGTCAAAGGCTTTCTGAAAGTCCAAGAAAATGCAGTCTGCCCACCCTTCTCTTTCCTGCCTAATTTGTGTTGCTTGGTCATAGAATTCTATTAGGCCTGTGAGGCACGATTTATCATCTCTGAACCCATGCTGGTGATGTGTTACAAAGCTGTTTCCCTCCAGATGCTCTACGAGCCTTTTCCTCACAATCGTCTCCATCACCTTGCACGGTATACAAGTTAGGGAAACTGGCCTGTAGTTCAGTGCCTCCTGCCTGTCACCCTTTTTGTAAATTGGGACTACATTAGCTGTCTTCCAGCTTTCCGGAAGGTCTCCCGTTTCTAGTGACCTGTTATACACCATAGAGAGTGGCACACTTAGTGCTTTTGCACCTTCTTTTAGAATCCACGGTGAGATTCTGTCAGGCCCAACAGCCTTTGACACATTCAGCTCCAACAGATTCCTTTTGACCTCATCACTGGTGAGGTCAAATAGATATAATACAGTAAACGTTTGTGTATGTTTTACTCTGGTAAACACATTTAGTGTGTATGTCTTTAAGACGGTTCATCATTGTCAGGCTATAGTAATTTTCCATGGTGGAACACAGTGTTGAGGTTAGGGATTTATTGGTTATATACCATATATGTATGTTATCTTTCCAGAAGAAACCAGTTCTATGCCAGTGAGTTTCTTTATACAGAGTGTGTATTTTGTGATTTTTGCGTTGATTATACATTATTTATTTCACTGTGGGAAGTGTGACACTCAGTGCAGGGGGCTGATGGGTGTACTGTGTGTTATTTGTCTGTAAGACAAGACCTTGAGTGTATTCTTTGTGTGAGGAGGACACTTGAAGGATTCAGGGAGAGTTAACTGAGGTTAATTAACACACCTAAGAGGTAGCACATTGCTTGGCGGGAAGGACTGTTGTGTTGTGGCAGTCTTGAGATTAACGTAAATGCGTTAGTGGTGCAATTTTCTGTCCGTTTGACAGCTAATTGATCACTCTAGCTAATTGTGTCATTAGCGTTGCATTAATGAATTCACACAGTGGATGAGGAACTGTTGGAAGGCGTGGGTGGTTTGTGTTAAAGTAATTTGCTCGAGACTAGTTACCTGTCCGTGGGATGGCTAATTAGTGGCTCATGTTAATTAGGGTAGATAAATAACATCAGTTAATTATCAGGGTTTGTCTGACTGTTGGAGGGCGAAGTCAATTGGTCTAGCATAATTCGTTGATTTAATAAGATCTGTCTGTTGGACAGTTAATTATGCACATAGGTTAATTAGGGATAATTAGCGCTACTTGAATACACAAGTGGATACCTGCTTAGGCAGGTTAATTAGAGTAACGCAATACATGTAGTAATTAATTAGCAGTCCCTAGGACAGTTAATTACTTGCTCTGATTAATTAGTTAATTAACGTTCCCGTTAAGTGATAATGACAGACTTGAGAGACACTGTTTAGTGATAGACAGTGGGGTTAACGTAACTCGTTTTGGATTAATTAGCTGTCTATGTGACAGTAATTACTAATTACTCACTGAATGCTTGATGGGTCAAGTGTGATGTAATTATGAGAGAATTAGTATTTTGACTGTTGAGTGTCGGTGAGACAAGTTTGTGTTAACGTAAAGAAAACTGTTGCTGACTGCTGTTGACAGTCACTTAACGATATTAATCATTGTTGATCAATTAGTGTAATTTTCATTCTTCTGTTTGATTGTGTCTTGAGAGACAAGCGTTAACGTAGAATTGGCAGGTGGTTACTTGTGTTGTCACTTAGTCGTTACAGTCTCAGCACAGTGAGCTGCAGGAGTTGTCTTAGCAAGTTGTGATTATAGATTCATATTGCAGAGGGCTGTGAATTGGTTTGATTGCAATGTTGCGTCATCAATGAGCACTCCGAATTGTTCAAGTTAGTTCATTTCAGACTTGCAGCAATAGACAGGAGTCGTTCCTATACTCGGTTGTTGATAGTTGCATTGAAAGAGCCATTAAGGTACATAAAATCATTGTTGTAGTAGTTTAGTACTTTGTTGAATAAACGTTTTTGATTGTTAGAGAACGGTCTTTATATCAACCCCACAACAAAATTGTTTCCACATTTTAATACTGTATTGGTTCATGTGATTTTTTTCTGAAAACCTGCTTCTGGGAAATTCGAAACCTGATTCATAGCGCCACACTCAATACAATATCGAAGTGAGAACCCGTGGGTTACCCTTACCAGTGTAACGTCATATAAGGAGCCCGAAGATCAAGTGAAGAGGGACTTAAACATTTTTGTTGAGGTCCTGGCGGTTGCTTCTGCCTTTCTAAGGTCAAATCCTAAAGAAAAATTTAACGCCTACTTCTCAACTTGCTAATTATATGTATCTGTCCCCATGTCCTGACTGTAATGTAAAAAATATTAAGTGTAATGTCATATATATAATGGAATCACACTTCGCAATTTTTGTTTTAGAATTTGTGAACACAGAGATCTGTCTTATAGATATCCATTTTTTCCGTTTCTTCTGTCCCTTTCTAGGACTCGTCCATTAAAATGTAATCATGAATTAGGGACAAAATGTTTAAATATTTTAGGCAAATATTCGAATAGCTTTGATCAAGGAATTTTATAGAGCGTATATATAAAATTACACAAACCTCAGTTGAATTCCCTAGAACTTTCAGCTTCCTTATTATTCATTGACGTCAACGTTTGTTTCCTTGGATTTTCCCTTTCAGTTTGATATCTTTAAATCGGTGGTATCTGTAATCTGTTTTGGCCTTGTTTGATTTATAATTCCAGATTCAGGACAATGAGATGCAAAGCCGAGAAAATGTACTCTTTCAAACCTCAGTTTGGTAGAACGTACAAAATGGCACTGCCGCTTTTGCTTCTGTTGTTGAATTTACTTAGATTATGAATAGTTGCTTTATAACGACTAGTCTCATTGGCCCAAACACCACATGTGGGGAAATCTGGCTCTAGTTTAATATTAATAAAATGTTTAATTCTATAATATGGGGATATAATATAAAAAAAATTCTATAATAAAAAGCCCGATATGGGGAGGGAAGGGTGATGATGAACACCCCTCGAGTCTGTCATGAAAACTAATCACCCACTTAGACCCGAGCTGTCCGTCTAAGTGAAAGGAAAAAAAAAAAGATATGTGAACAGGTCCATCAGGAGAAAGGAAATGATGTTACTTTTCCCCTATTTAATGATCTGAATAGAGCCAGAGAGAGAGAGAGAGAAAAAAAGCAAGTAGGATGGTACAAAACCATTAATAGTTGGTAATGGATGAAGAGGTAATGCTGCTCCTAGGGATAGATCTAAAAATTGCATATATTCTTTCATTCAGTTGCATGAAAACGCAACATTCTGGCTATGGTGTGTGGTATGTCAAAACTCTCTCAAAAGCAGTGCTCCAGACCCACGGAGTGAGTGTGAAATTGACAGGTGATAGATGCAGGCTGTCACCTGCAATGGAGCCCTGTTGCTTATGCATCGTTAAACGCCTAGAAAGAGATGTTGTTGTCTTGCCTATATACTGGGGTTTTTGGAGCTTACAGTCCCAAGTGTTAGTAACGATGGAGAATCCAGTGGTGTCGTTGTTGGCCAATCCAGACTTTGAGGGAATTAAGAGCCTAAAAAAGTCTGAGTTAATACAAATGGCAAATCAGTTGGATTTGACCGCCAACAATAGAATGGTTAAAGCCCAAATTGTGAAAGTCATTGTGACGAATTTAGTTGAGAATGGAGAGTTAGATGAAGAAATTCTGGAGGAGGTAAGAGAGGAGTCAAGTGATCAGATGTCGTTAAAGCGTCTTGAGTTGGAAGCGCAAATAGCAAATGCTAAGCTTGAAGCTCAAAAGAAACAGAAAATTTTAGAGTTTGAAGTTTTAAAGGAACAGAAATTATTAGAAGCTGAAACTCAGCAGAGGGAGCTCGAGACTAGGCGGTTAGAGGTTATGGCACAGTTGCAACTAGAAGCCACAAAGAAGCAACAATTAGAGATTCAACAACAAATGGCTGACACTAACTTCAGGCTTGAATCACAGCGTATGGCAGCTGGGCATGGAAATACTAGTAATGTTTCAACAAATAGTGATAATAATCTCATAAGGATGAATAAGTATATAGAGTTGCCCAAGTTTAATGAGGAGGATCCTGAGGTTTTCTTTGCACATTTTTATAAGATTGCAATCAGTATGAACTGGCCAAGGGATCAATGGGTAGCCATTATGCAGTCTCAATTTAAGGGGCGTAGTCAGGAGGTTTTTACATCCCTACCTGACGCTCATAGCTTTGATTATGAATTTGTAAAGAAAAGCATCTTAACTGCATATCAATTAAATCCAGAGGCACACAGGCAAAAGTTTCGGAACCTAAGGAGGGTAAGCGATCAGACAATAGCAGATTTTACTCGTCAGAAGACGAATTTTTGCAACAGATGGTTAAAGTCACTTTCAGTAACCGAGTATGATGCTCTAAAGAATCTTCTTATCACAGAAGAAGTATTGTCATGTCTCCCAGACAAGTTGTCTACTTTTATGGCAGAACAAAAGAATGTAACAGACATTTATGAGCTGTCAAAGCTCGCGGATGAGCACGAGTTGTTGACTAAGGCCCAGTTTACGGCCACTTTACCTAAGTCAAGTCGTAGAATAAATTATAATGCTCACCGAACTCCTTATCAGAATCCATCCAGTCCTAGTGCTCCAGTTACTCCCATGAGCTCTTCTCTTACTAAACCTAACCCTTCTACTTCATTGTCAGGAATGTCAAATAATAATAAGGTTACTTCTAAACCTACAGTTGGTTCCACAGGTGTGTCCATTGTAAGGTCCTGTTCCCATTGTAAGAGAAAAGGCCATGGAATTAATTCCTGTTTTATATTGCACCCTGAGTTACAACCAACTGGTCTCATTTATTGTAGAGGTGTGCAAAATAAATTTACTAATAAACATGTAACTGTAAACCCCAATTGGGTGAAACAGTATTCACCATATATGTCTTCAGGTGAAGTTTTGTGTATTAATGGGAAGTGGAAGCCAGTGGTTATTCTTCGTGATACAGGTGCTTCCCAAACCATAATTTCATCCAGTATTCTTTCTGATGTTGAAAAGAGAGACACTGGAAAGTTTGTAGTTCTTCAGAGTGTTGCAGGATGTAAGACTGTACCTCTAATAGACCTTAATTTCAGATCCACCATTACTCCAAGTTCATGCACTGTGGGTGTTAGTACACAGTTGCCCATCCCAGGTGTGGATGTTATATTGGGTAATGATGTGGCCATAAATCCTGTTGTGGGTGAGAATGATCCCCGTTTGTGTAAACAGCCAGTTGCAGACCATGTTTATTCTGCCTGTGCTGAAATTAGTTCCATGAATGAACAACCTGTTGGAGTAGATGGTTTTGTCCATTCTACCTGTGCTGATGTCAGTACTATTATAAATCCAGTTGTCAGTTCTAATGTTGTTACTCAAGCATTTGTTCCAGTAACCAGTACCCCTTCAGTGGAGAAGTGGGATGTGGTTGTTTCAGATTCCTGTGTGGCCGACCTAGTTGTTGAGAGTAAGCCTGATACTATGACTCTGCTTTATTCCAATAAATTGGGAAAGGATGTCCATGTACCATTGTCTTGCCCGCTCACTACGAACGTTGTGCCAGGAGTTGAGAGAAACTTAAAAGCCACGACTCTATTGTAATCCAGCCAAGTGAATGGTTTAGGACAAGATGTCGGGTTGGCAGAAGTATTCCCGCTCACTCAAAGTTTAGAACCAGTTGTCGAGAGTAAGTCTGTTGTAGAGGCCCCGCCTCACCCTAGTCAA